TTGGGTTTAGCAGATTAAAGGATTATGCTTTAGAACCTAGTCCAACACTTCTTACCTGCCCCTTTCCTCACAAACTTGGAATGTTGTGGACTCTTTAATGTAAAGGGTGAAGAGCCTACTGAAAGAAGCATTTATTCTGGAAGTTTATTTTTATAATAAATGGACCTGTATCTCTCTGCAGAAGCTTTTGTAACTTACTTCTTGTAGGAAGTGGATCTACTAAGACATGATCAAAAAAGCAGTTGAACATATTTCCCATTCTAACTGTTGTGACTTAGTTGTGAAATTCCCCTTATATACATAAAGATGAATTACAATTATTTTTATTCATATAGTATAATGTCAGAATTTAGCACTGGAATCTGTATCAGACCACTCAGTTTTCATCACTTTCCTGTAAGCATGTTTTCAACTATTTCCTCCCAGAAACCATTCATTTTTAAATAATGAGCAGCTATATGAGTGCTTTCTAGTGTTTCTGGAAGCATATTAAAACTTTGCAAAGGAGGAAAGACTATACAACCCTCAGGCATATACCACTCTAAACCTACATCTGCTCAGATGTACAAAGTAGGCTTTTCTGGGTGTCTCCAAGCTGCTAGGCAGGCATCTATTTTTAGCGTTCTTTCCCAAGTGTTGCTAAGAATGTTTTCCTCACTTTTTTTTTCCTTTTCTGTTACTCTCTGTTAGTTGCCCATTTCTGTCATCCTCTTCTGTAGTCTGCCAGGTGTGTGTAGTTCTTGCTCCTCCCCCATCACAGTTTTTATTTTAAAAAAATGACACAGTAATAGCCATGGAATGCCAAAAATATGCTAAATGTGGCCTTTTTAGTTTTTACAGGCACTGCGGAACATGAAAAGATCCATTTAGTTTAGGAACAAACTAAGATTAATCTTGGTAGTGCTACATACTGGTAAACTGACCCCTCACTGCTTTCTGCTTAGCAAAACATCCCAGAAGAGTGAGAGATGCCTCAAAGACTGTGTGGTGCCCTGACACCTTGGGGAAGGGGTGATCCCCCATCCCTGCTGTACCATATGTCTCTATTATCTTTTTGGCACATAATACTCATGCTATTTTCTATTTAGTCCACTATTTTGTCTACTCTGACTAGCAGTATCTACTTAGGGTCCCAGATGACTCCTATCACATGCCATGTCATCCTTTCAGCTGATGCCAGGCATTGAACTGAGAACAAGTGAGCAAGGTGCCCCAGTGCTGATGGTACCTGTGAATACATTCCTTTCACTTTCACTGCCATTTACTGTTTGGATAAAGGCAGTGGTGCACTAGCCTTTATATGAGCAACTAATAACCACGAATACGTTATTTGTATGTCAGCCAGGAAATGCTGAGGAAAAGCCTGAGGTTTAAAAATATCTTAACATGTTAATGGATGCACCATGTTGATGCAGTACAGGGAGAAGAGTCACTGGTTGTCTTGGTGTTGAAAGTAGACTAGAGCCACTTCTAGAGTACAACCCTATCGATACCTATGCAGAATTAAGAGTTCAATGGGAATTACTCCCCAGTAATCAAGTGGAGGATTCCAGTCTTGATGTTTTAATCCAGGTTCTGGGCATTGTGGCTTTTGCGTTCAACCTAAATATGGTACAAAACAGACTGGGGAGGGATCCCTCAAAGTTGGAGCATGTGCTTTGCCTTCAACAGGTTCCGGGTTCAATTCCAGCAACTCCAGGTTGGGAGTGCTAGAAAAGACCAGAAGGAACTGCTTCCAGTTCCATACTGCATTTCATGGACAATTAACCCAAGTCTGGAATAGGGAGCCTCCTGTGATTTATGCAATATTTTGTGAAAGGTTTTTCAATTTGCTACTGCTGAGCTGAACTGCTTTGGCAATACTTCAGAGTGAAAATCAGGGGTGTGTCAGGAACATGACGTCTTGCTCCTCACCACCAAACCAAACTGTTCTTTTCAATTTTCTTCTTTTCTGTCTGTTTCCAAATATCTCAGCCATAGTACAGCATGAAGAGAAAGAGAGAGCCATCACACTGCCAAGGCAATCCAAGGACTCTTCCGTCTTCCCACACTGAGCTGGTGGGAAGAGATGGAGACGGGATGTGCTGCTTTTTCCTTGCCCTCAATGAAATGGGTGACCTTTACCTTTCTTTCAATTCCCCGAGTGCTGGTCAAAGGAAGAGGTTAGTGTGGTGGACCACAAATATGCCTGCAAAGCCAGGGCTTGGGGTCTGGCACAGTTAACATTAATTCATCTCAATAGTTGATATTATGCTTTGGATGCAGGTTGTTCTGAAAAGATGAGCAATGTTAAATGCCCACAGGTACAGCATAAAATAATTGTCAGTCCCTTGTTGTTGTTGTTGTTCGTCGCAAAGTTGTGTCTGACCCATCATGACCCCATGGACACCCCTTAAATATTCAGCCCCTAAATGTTCACTAATTCTCTGCAGACCAAGTAGAGAATCCTTACATTATAAGCTCGTTCCTCTCAACTGGCACAAATGACAATGTACTTAATGTTAGTGATAATATTGAAATTGACAGTTATTTGGTTCAGCATATCAATTAGCCTAGATTGTGAAACTCTTACATTGCAGAATCACTGCCATTTCCTCAAAAGTTATCTTCTAACTTCAAATGTTAGCTGAAATTCTGCACAAGTGCAATCAGCATTCAGCCATCTAGTTGCTGAAGGGTGGAGGGACACACAGAATTTTTAAAACATTACCTTCTTACTCTCAGCAAAACTATCACTGAAGGAATGTGTTTTCTCAAGAACTGCAAGGTGCTACCACTCTCCTGGCTTTTAGGTTGTGAAGACACCATCTTTTTAATTTAGTCTTTTACATTCTTTAAAATTGCAGTACGTTCCCTTGATATCTTTTTGGAAAATAAGGTCATACATAGATGTCAGCCATAAGTAATGAACAATTGACTCCCTGAAAACTGGCATGTAATTTATTTACAAAGGGTTACTTTGCTACCTGAACAAGTGGAATGTCTGAACCATGGTACAAACTGAAGCATAGTTCTGAGAGGGCAATGTAATACTGGCTATGTAGGTAGAACCCCTGCATACTCTAAGCTGTGAGAAAGCAGTCAGAAAACAAATTAGGATTGTTTTGGTAAGCTTGTCAGGAATACTTATAAATACCAAACTGATTCTGAACTAAGCCAAGCAGAACTTCCCTATAACTAGTTAATGCTTGTGATAGATTTAAACATTTTCATGAGCTATACTCCATGAAACCTGTGAAAGTCTTTTTCTCCTTTCCCTCAGATACTGACCTTTCACAACAAGATCATGTTTATTTTCATCAGAATCTGTTTAAAACCCAAATCTAGGAAAGCTTGTATTGTCTTTGATGCCACTGTGCTTACTGTCTGGAGATTAATTTGAAGGCTGCAAGAATTTACATACTAAACCTGAATGCAAGCAAAATGACAGTGTCTAAAAGGTATAAATGTATATTCTGCTAAGAAATCAACAGAGCAGACTTCCCACCACTAGCTGGTGATGATAGTAATATAGTATTATTGTTACTTTTCTCACAGCTGTGCTTTAAGATTACATGACAGCAGTTCACTTATAATTAAAAATAAATCACTTGCTACAATAAGCTGCTAGAGAGTAACCAGCCAAATTATTTTACTGCCTTAAAGTATGTACTGCAGGATAACAAACAATGCATTTAACCAGACAGGAAATTACCAGCCTGAACCACAACTGAGTAAAGTTGAAGTATTAAGCTGCCTTGAATCCAGTTTATTTAGACTAATAGATTGTATGAAGCTTTGGTTATATGTCAGCTCTTGTATATTTTGTGGTTCCATGCTATATGTCTAGGCCTTCTGATGTTTTCTACTTACTAAAAGCTTGCATGATCCATATTATATAGAATATATTCTAAATTGAATGTTTTTTTTCACTGTGAAGTTAGAACAAATATTACAGATCATATTATCCTACTCATCTTTGTGAAGGATTAAACATGTACAACCTTGGATTTAAAATTTAAGTCCCTCTGAATATGAGTTGAATGGATCCATCCAAACTTTAAGGCATACTTGTTATTATTTCACTTTGAACTCAACTTTCACATTATTCTACATCTATTGTAAGACTTGTAATCCATAATAATGACATCTTAGAAAAGTTAAGTAGGGACCTGGCTATTCATATAAACACTTTGCCTCTTGCTGAAGGTTTTCTCACCATTGTACAAAATGATCTTAAGTTCCATATTCACAGATTCTTCCATATGCCAGTATTTCTCATCAATATGTATAGGTGTGAAAGCTGGCCAGTGAAGAAAGCTACACGAAGAAAACTGATGCAGTCAAAACATGGTGCTAGAGGAGAAGTTTGTGAATACCCTGGACAAACAGAAGGGTGAATGACTGAGTTCCAGATCAAATTAAACTAGTGCTTTCCCTAGAAGCAAAAATGACAAAACTGAGGCCCTCACACTTTGGGCGTATCATGAGAAGGCAAAACTCCTTGGAGAAGACAATCATGCTAAAGAAAAGTCACCAGCAGAAGAAAAGAAAGACCAACTATGAGATGGGTTGACTCAATAAAGGAAGTCACAGCCTGAACAGGGTTGTTATTGATAGGACATTTTGGAGAGCTTTCATCCATAGGGTAACCATAAATTAAAGATGAATTGACGACATATAACAACAACATCAGGCTATGCTTAAATATGTTATTCTGGGGCTGTGGCAGATCTTCTTTGACTTTTCAGCTGAACTTATCAACAACTGTGTAAACATGGAGCATATTGGCATTTACAGAGAGAGCTGTATAGGATGATTTGCAGAAAGGACTAGTGATTTCCCTTCTAATATGCTAGCAGATGTAAGTCTGTATGTCCTTCTTCCACTTGTTCTTTCCTCTCAGGTCAGCCTTATGTTGATATCATAATACTTTCTCCAATACCATTCTGAGGGTCAAATATAGCATGAACCCTAATAATTAAACCATTTCCAGGACAATGAAAGGATTCTGTTCTTACCTCAGCTTGGGAATTGGATGGCATTATGGAAGCTTCATTCTCTGCATTTCCAGTAGGACCATTGCTTGGTGAACTGGGACCTGATCCTGGGGAACTGCTACTGACGGATGATTCTGGGGCAGGAGGGGGAAAAAAAACACCGCAGTTAGGAAATAGCTTCTCCAAGCAACTGCATTTAGCATAAGACAAATAACTTGCACGTACAATGCATTCTTTTATTCCTTTCAAGATTTAATTTTTTCCCTTGTGATGCTTCAAATATACAAAGGACACAATTTATTATTTGGCAATCTCTCCCCCCGCACATAATGGCCAGTTTCTCAGTGGCAAGCAAGATACAGAAAGGGAGTTCCTAATGAGTAAAGGAAAAGGAAGTACCTTTGCCTGCATTCTCTGCTGCCTCTGTGAGAGATCAGCATGACAGAGATACTGGACTCCCAAAGGTCAAGATAACATGTCATCAATTCATGAGGCCTGCTGCCATTCCTAGGCTGTTTGGATAAACCCCTGGAGGACTAAGTTGTGAACCAGCCTTTATATGAGTAACCAATAAAAAACAATACCTCATTTGCCATGAATCTCTGTCAGTGAACTCTGAGGCAAAGCATGAAACTTAAAAATCTTGGCATAGCATTTAAATGGTTATATCTTAATGTATTGTACCACAGGAAGTTTGGCATGTTTTATTAAGGGCAAAGAGAAGCTTTCATTATATTTAGCTGAAACACCACACAGTTGCTGAAGGATGGATGCTAGTGAAAGTTTATAGATAGTTTATAGAAAGTTTAAATAGTTCATAGAATTATATGCGAATATATACTATACATATGGGTATGATGTATCTATGCATTGTAGTGTACCTTTCCAGTCTCACAGACAGAGTTTGTGCATGTATCACTGAGAGGTATATTTTATCATCAATCTTAATTGGTCTAGAATTTATATATTAGACCTCTATCTTTAGGTGCCTTTCCTCGTGTTCTTCTGTTTTACAGAATACACCAATTTTTCTCTAAGGGTACAGTCCAATTGATTAGACCCTTGGTGATCAAACTACCCCCCCCCCCCATCAGAGACTTCTGTTCATCCAACAGGACAGAAAGAGAGGTAGAGGCAATCTTTACCTCCCCGTCTAGTGATGGTGCTTCAAAGGGGTGGACAGAGACAGATGGCAGGCACCCAGGACAACTCATACCCTACTATCTCCCCTCTCTCGGTGCTTCCTAGTGTAACTTTCCCTTTTCCTCCTTCCTGATCTATATGGGCAGCCACAAGGATCAAGGATATTGGATTCTTCCTTCTAAGGCTGGAGTCTGACTCAAAGAGGGGAATCCCCAGTATCATATAGGCTCTTTAAAAAAAAACTAATAAAGTTGTTATATCTTCGACTAGGGTAAACTATGCTTAATATTTGAACATAAAGTAGTCAGTTCATATATTTTGGTATGAAGGACCTCAGATAAAGCATCAAAAACTGGTTTGAGAACATTCTGATTTATCCATAGGTTAAATCTTTTCATTTAAAAATGTTCAGTTCAATTTACCAGAATCAACACCATATCCTAAGGGAAACAGTGTTATTTTTTCCAGATGGGTAGAGTATAAAAATGACTACTATTTATTTTGTCCATCTGTCTAAGGCTTCACACATTTCAGTTAACACTAGATAATATCTTATTTCAAAGAAATCTTCAGAAAAGAATAAAGGTTGAAACCAGATAGAACCAGTTCAAAAACAATTAAGTTGGTGAGAGCTATGGAAAAATTATTGGTCATTCTTCTAAAAGATAATTGCCTAAAAGGATGCTTAATGCCAACTCTGAGTGTGCAAACATATGAATTTCCATTAATTCCAGAAGTACTTAATAACGAGTAAAAATGGTCTTGAAACTCTTATGAAAAATGCCGTGCAACTTTGAACTGGCTTCTCTAAATGATCAGTATACTCTTTAATTTTCATAAGATAATGGAACTCAATGCATGTAATCATACAGAACAGATTACCACAAATTTGGGTAGGGTCACTCCAGTCCAACCCTTCATTACCTGTCACCTCAAACAGTCTTTTCTTGAATGAGCAGACAACTGTTCCATCCTTCCTTCTGAGTAAAGGACTGCTTCTTCTTTCTGTTACCTTTTGCTTTAACCTGGACCGAACTTTCAAGTTGGGCTCTGAGGCTGGGAATGGAGACAACAAAATACATCATTACAAACTAGAAAGCTGTAAGTGGCCATGTTAACCAATGGGAACAATTTAGTATTAGTGTCCTCCTCAATTCATAAGAAGTAGAGAAGGCAACCACATAATAAGATTCTATTTACAAACATATGGTCTTGAACTTCCCCAGAACTTTGCTAGGTTTTCAGTTCCTATAGAGCTCTTTTGCTCTACATATCAGAAAACTATTGCATATGGTGTTCTATTAGTATTCATAAATCCATGCTGTAAAGGGACATAGTACATGTGTTTTTTTTTTCCTTGATATCTTTTTCTTTTGTACTGCAATGACATTTCATCCCACCCACAGAGCAGCTCTTAGGAAAAATCATGGAAAAATCCATTTCAGATCTTGTACACCACAAGAGTTAGTCACCTTCCTTAAAAAATTTATTTGCACATTTTATACACTTCTATTTTGCCAGTTGCTTATATTGTTCTGGCTTATTAAAGTAAAACAATCATGTTACTAGTATTTTAAGAAGACCTTTTCTCATCCCGTATCACTTTAAATTGTACTTTCAACAGGAAATAAGACTGCATTATCACTATTTTTGGATTTTGGATTTCAACCCTAATCCCTGCTGGCATTAAATTGGAACTGATAGTGAAGTCATCTTTGGCATTTATTTAATTTGCAGTAAGGTTATGTTCTATTTATAGGTTTTCATGCTCCCCAACTATAGATTTCCATATCTGGGCCCAAAGAAAAAAGCTCTTTAACATTCACTAGGGAGAAGTCCCACTTGCCTCCAAATCTGTTTTCATGCCCAACTGCTCTGATTGCCTTTCTATTTTTAACCACCTACCCATCACATCCAATCAGTAGCATAAACAGAGAAAGGAGTCTTTAGGTGGCTGTCTTAATTTATGATACAGTGGAAAAGATGTTCCCCTTTCATAAAAGAGGAAGTGCCATTATTAAAACCATTTTACAAATCAGAGAAGTCAAATCTTTTGTGGACCCCAAAAGTAAGGAAAACTAAAATCTTCAATGAAAGTACAGCTACAAAATCCTCTTAACAGAAAACAGAAGAAAACCAAAATAGACTAGAATTTAGTACAATCATTTCACATAAACACTCATGTGAGAAGAGCAGCTGCAACATAAACAATTCCAAAGTGGCTTCACAAATTTTGCTTTGGCATACTAGGTAGCTTCCTTTTGTCATCAGCAGTATTTCTAACCTGAACCCTTCACACGTTGATTACAGTCAGATTTACACTCTTATTCACACGAGTGCAGTTCGAAGCAACATCTGAACTCAGAGAGGATAGGTGCTTGGGTGGTCAATAAACCTCTCAGAAACCACAGATAGTTTTAGGGTAGCTGAATGGTTTGTTAACCACCCTAACCACTCACCCTCAAATGTCACAACAAGCCATCCAAGCTATGCTAATTACAGTCAGCCCTCATAGGGGTTGGGAGTGCAGGATTCCCACAGAAGTGGAAAAACTGTGACTCTTTCTCCCCCCACCCCCCACCAACCTTAACTCTTAATACTGTTGACCATACGTGTACTGGTAGCTACATTACAACCACCTCTTTTGCAATTTGAATAACCTTTAGCGTAAAACCAGACTTGAGCTCATTCTGCATCATGAGCCTCATGTATCACCTCATGCCCAGTCCCAAGCCCAGTGTCTGCCCCACCCTCACTGGGTGTGGGTGGGGGGCACCATTCCAGGCCAGCCGTGGCTACAGCTAGGAAGGGGAGCCTTCCCCATGCCACTGCCTGTGGAGTAATAGGTAGCAGACTGCTATATGCTGCAAAACTCCAAAAATGCCCCATTTAATTATTGATGGCAAACTTGCAAATAATCAAGTCTGTGAAAGTCAAGGTTTCTATATGCATTCAGCATGCACGGGATAGCTAACAAGCAAGTATGGCTTGTTAACCATTCTGCAAAAGCCAGGTTGCATAGGATGCAGAAAACCTTGCTTTCAGTCACCAGCCATACATGCATACATAGGTATATATGGTTCTTTGTTGGGGTAGATCAACCTTCCTCACACCACTGGCAGCTCTTTTCCCTCTTACATGGCTGATACAGGCTATCCTTCTTGCCACAAGGCAGAAAATATCTTACTCTGGAATGAGAAAATTGTTAAGCTGGGATCTACCGTACCGGAACCCAACAATTGGCTTAAACTGGCTTGAATGGTAGCATTCTGAAACCTAATTGGTTTGGCACCCAGGGGACAGCAGTTATTTTATTTACTTACTTACTGCTCTTGCATACTATTCACAACTATCAAAGCTCCATCAAAGTTATGGGGGAAAGCTATATTGCACTTTTAATTTAGAAGGGAAATGGAAGAGAATGGAAGTTTTTAAGACCAGACATTTTTCCCCTAACCAGACTAGGCTCCAGACAGTTCAAGCACAGCAATGTCCACCCAAATATACCACACTATTTTTGGTAAATTTAGGTATGCCTAATTCTTGAAAGGATCAGCCTGGTAACAGATGAAGGCTTTGTAGTTTAGGGGAATGAATATGTCTATAGGTGACATGACAAACTGAATACAGTTAAATTATTTTCTCTCTCCAAAAACATTTTAACTGTATTTTTATTTTTATTTACAGTATTTGTATACTGTATACTGCTCCATATCTAGGCAGATTCTGCAATAGTGAACAGTGGAAAGCTAAGACGGATATGATGATAAAAACAATACATGAAAAACATTACAACTACAGCTGCTTGGAAGAAAGGCTTCCTGGAAGAAAGGTCTGTTTAGCAAGCATGGAAAACAGCACAAGGGTGGTGCTCGCTGAAGGCTCTTCTCCTGGTGGAATCCAGTCAGGCCATGAGCCCTTATCAGACCACAGGAAAATATCCTCTCTGACCAAGCACGTTGAAGGAGAAAGCGTTCCCAAGTTTCCTGGTCCCATGTTATTCGTGGCTTTGTACTAGAACCTTAAACCTGGTTCAGTAGTGAATAGGCAGCCAGCGCAGTTCCTCATCAAAGGCGTAGCTTAGTGAAAAGGGGCATCTCCCGACAAAAGCTGAGCTGCGGCATGCTGCACTAGCTCTAGCTTCCACAGCAGCCTTAAAGCAGCCCCCTCTTTGAGCACACTGCAGTAATCCAGCCTTGAGGTTACTAGTGCCTGTATCACTATGGCCAAGCTATCACAGTTCCAGCGAAACCGTTGCTGGCAAACCACTTAAAGCCAGTGGAAGGCATTCGGAGCTGTTCCAGTGACTTGGGACTCTGGTGACAGCAACTGCTCTAGAAATAGCTCCAGACTATAAACCTGATCTTTCAGAAGAGCAATCCCATCCAGAATTGGCTATAAGCCTATATTCTGGGCTGGGAACCATTCACTCTCAAAGCTTCCATCTTGCCAGGATGCCATCTCAGTTTACTGGACCTCACTGAAGTCATCCCTGAGTCCAGGCACTGATCTTGGATTTGCACAGCCCCCCTTGATGCAGTTATCACAAGGGGACATAGCTGTGTGTCACTGGGGTATTAATGTTGTTTGATGCCAACTCCCCTAATGACCAATCTCAAAGGCTTCATACAGATGTTAAACACCACTGGGGAACCCTAAGGAACCCACAGCTCAATAGCAAGGGATCTGAGGAACAGACACCCAATATTACTGTATAGTATTAAGCCTACAGGTATGACTAAAACAACCACAACACAGTGCCTATCTTTACAAAGCTTCTGCTGCTGATAATGATGATGATTATCATCATCATTATTTAAGAAGTTATTTGATACCATCAGCTACAGTATCCTTCGGGAATGACTCCCTGAGTTAGCAGGAGGATACTACAAGTGTATATTTCCATGCAAATGTGTATTTCTCTAAGCAGGATCAAACACTAAAATTGTGACCAGTTTGAATCAAAAAAGTGTTGCCTTTAAACAAGTCTTTCATTACTTAAATGTAAACAATGTATTCATTTTAAGTGCCCTGTTAAAGAGGAAATACATAGGATTTGGACAGATATTGGGACATTGCTTCCCAAAGAACTCACCAGCATAATATCACTTTATAGCGATAGCCTGTTCCAACTACAGATCAGTACTTTATGAACTAGGTCAGAAAAAAGAGATGGTATACTATATCATGAGCAAATTATTTATCTCGAGGCTATGCATCTATGTATAAGAAACCCGAATTTCAGAAAGCAACCTTTTGTCATGGCTTAATATGGAATTAAATGAAAAATATTTTGTTACATTTATCCTGCAGGCTACATTTGGAAAATCCTAGGCACATAGGGTTCATCATAATAAACCGGATCATGAATTTTGACTTGAACAATTTTTTCATTGATATAATAATTTGATGCAATAAATTTATGAAAGCTGATCACTTTTCTTCTACTGTAATCTCTACTTCAAAGTATACTGAACTGATGTAGAGTCTGCAGGAAACAAAATAAAATGGATACAAAACAAATTGTTGCCCGTTGCTTTTGTTATTTGGCCACCCAAGCTTGTTAACAGCATAACAACTTAATGAAAACTGGGCTCAAATCTATAAAGCTCCCTAGTTAAGCTTGGGCCATTGCTATTTCTCAACCTAACCTACCTCACAGGGGCACTGTGAGAATAAAATGGGGAAGAACCATGCATGTTGCATTGAGCTCCTTGGGAGAAAAGTGGTATATAAATGAAAAAAAATTCCCAAAGAAATGCAATTAAAACAAGCTTAATTTATGTTTTGGTCTTTTCCCCCCTTTTTGGTCTGAAATTATTAAACCAGCACAATCTAATTAGCTTCATACACAATGTAACCTTCCATCTGGTAGAGTAATTTAACAGAATTAATTGTATACCACCATAAGTCAATGAGGCACTGAGGAAAACCATTGAAATGCTATTTCCTTTCCTTTGGAAGAGAATTATGTACAACTTCGGCATGATTTGCATTGCTAACAGTGAAATCCAACTGGGAGGAATCACTCTCATTTATATTACTTTCCCATGAGAAAATCAAAAGAGAACTATAAAGCTAGTTCTGTTATTCATAAATAGCTCCAGAATACTTAATTGGCTTTAACCAAGACATGTTACTTGGCAGCAAAAAATTTTAATTGCAGTTGTGAGCCTGAGTACATATTCAAAGCAACTGTACTTCAAAATTGCAGTAAAATATATTTTGTCAACAAGCAACACATTGCGTTTTAGAGACCGACACTTTCTTCTCTCTTCTAAGAAAAGGGAACTGTTGCTTTATGAACTGCACTGGCTGCCAGCCATTCTTGGGCCCAGTTCAAGTGTTGGTATTAACTTACAAAGTCCTAAATTGCTTTGGCTGAGGTTACCTGAAGGATAGTCTCCTTCCATGTGTATCTGCCAAGACACTAAGTTCACCCACAGAGGCCCTTTTCCAGGTCTCCCTGATGAAAGAGGTAAGACATGTGGCTAAGGAAAGAGTCTTTTTAGTAGTGGCACCCCAACTGTAGAATGTTCTCTTAAATTATTGTCTTTTGGCACCAGGTGAAGACCATTTTATTTTCTCAGGCTTTGTAGCTATTTTGTTTTAAACTAATATATTGTTTTTAGTTTTATTTTGTTTGAAAGTTATGCTTTGATACTCTGTTTTATTATGTTACTGCATTTTATGGTTATAAGTTTCGTGTTTTGAGAATTGCCTTGAGAAATAGTTGATATATAAATAAATACAGTGTCCAATAAATAAAAATAATGAATTCACTCTGTTTCTTTGGTTATACTTTGTGTCATGTATATATGAATTCAACTGGAGAGAACCCTTAAATAGACTTTTTAAATAATGCGTATTTTCAACCCAAATATACTGCTGAGAATTTATAGATACATCATTTGACAGTTGTATGTTAATGCTGAATAAATATTAATATACAACTGAGGTTGAGAGGTAGAAGTCGAGCAATTCCCTGGTTCCTTTGAAGCTTATGGATGAAATAAAACTTTCCTATGAAGAAGCAGGCTCAAAATTAAATTAAAATGTCATATTGCTTGGCTGATTTTGTTTAGAATTTATTTTGTTTAGAATAACAAAACCTGCTGCTAGCTGGGAACTAGTGACACTGACTGTTCATAGTCCAAGGAAAGGAAAAGTAGGGGGGAAGACCACTCCTTGTGACAAAGGTCAAAAATTTGCTGGCAAAGAACCTGTCTATGCACAGGAACGTTTCAGGGGGCAGCTTTGTCTGAAACAGTCCCAAGAGAATGTCATAGGCTCCAGAATGTCCCTTTGCCTAAGGGATGGCCCCATGGCCATACTGATCAGTTTAGGGTCATTTCACTTGTGTCATTCTAGTTCCTGTTGTTTTTTTCATCTAAAACTGTTGAGCAGTCACTGGAAGCTTTGTGAATACCTTGCTGAGGGCTGAAATTAGGCACCTCCAATTAGGAGCCCAAGGCCTGTTACATAAACAGGATATATGCAATATGTGAACAAATTCTTAGAGTTGTCATCAAAAAGAGGTCCTTTCCTCTATGCATGTTGACTGTTGTACTGATGCTCTCTGCCCACTCTTTTACTTTGAAAGCCTGCCACATAAACAGAGGAAATGATCAAAATGAGATCAGTCCTTTATTCATTCATATAGTATGTTGTGTTTGTAAAAGCACCTCACAGTTAGCTCACGTGTGGCATGCCCAAATATTTGGAATAATGTGTAGAAAATGTCTGGCTTTAATTATATTGTAGTCCTCTTACGCAGACAATGAGAATTGAATTAAGAAATTTTTGAAACCCCCACAGAGAGGTAAAAGTATTAACAGCTGCACCAGAACTATACTGTTAAAATGTTTGAACATGTTTGCCTTTACCAATCAACAATTTTACACCCCGTAAATATTATTGGTGCTTTTTAAAGACACACAGACATTAATATTTATAAACAGGGGAGGTAAGAAGCCAAATTTATAAAATTGCTTGGAGAGCAAACATTATATTATATCATATATAATGACAAAGATATAAGATAATGAAAATGGTACTGTGGACCTGGGCGTGTATCTGTTTTAAGCTAAATAGCTCAGGTTCTGCTGGCAATGGAAGTCTGCTGGCAAAATAAGATTTTGAGGACCTGCATGCCAGGAGCTACAGAAAGGGGACTGCCTCCACTTAGAATGGCAGTGTTGGATTCACCCCATAATATAAACTTGCATTTTATTTTAAATTCTGCTCACTGTGCTTTGGTTTGTGTGTAGTTCTGTTACTTACTAGTATTAAATCATATTTTAAAGTGTCATTTGTGGCGTCACATAGGTCTGGTTCAATTAAACTCAATTTTCACATGTGTTTCCCTGCTTGGCTCTTGCACAATCAAGGATTGGAGAGAAAACAAGATTTTCTCAGCCGTGAACAACTTTTTCTGTCTGCAAGTATTGTATGGTAAAACTCCTAGCACAATTTTTACTGAAATGTTTAATAACTGTGATAAGTGAAATATTTTCAAATGCAGAGTGGGGTATAGGAAGCAACCCTCTTATTCCAACTGTAGCTGTATTATTATGGGATAAGGAAAACACTCTTTTCCTCACACTTGCTTATATACACTGTCACCAGCGTACCAGCTCCAACATCGAGCAACTAAGCAGATTCTCATCTTGCTATCTGCTATAGCTCCGGCTTATCAATATATATTCCTCTGTGTTGGAAGACTCTGAATCAAGGTGTTCTATTCTGCTTTCTATACAAACAAGGATTCATTGCCTCAGATAGTAAGCCATCAGTGAGCATTTGGTTAAACCTCAGTGATGTTGGAAACTATATTTAAGTTAATATTAAATTGCAGAGCAATCTATAGTGTAAAAGTGATACAATAACACTTAAAAGGAAAACAAACAAAAATAAAGGTATAAGATAAAACTTACAACAGGCTAAAACGTGTCCAAAGTTAAAATGCTGAGGCAAACATAACTGTCTTCTCCATCTGCCTATATGTGAAATGAATGAATCCAGACACAAGCCCAACATTCTGCAACTCTTGTGTCTTCAGCTAGTGATGAAGAACCAAACAACATGGCACAAAGAACAGCCTCCCATGCCTTACAGCAAACTGCATTTGAAAGTAAAGGGATTTTTCAAAAGCCATTTGTGATACAGTATGAGTTTGCTGTTTAAAAAATTTCAACTGAATAAATAGCACACTCAAATCCCTTAGTCATATCTAAAGAAGTTTTCTAAGTGAAAACAAGGCTATTTTCATATTAAAGCACTCATACGTTATCAAGTGTCCTTTCCTTCTCCTTTCCTCCTCTGATGTGCCCCCGTCCCCCTCACCCAAAAAAAAAAAAAAGATTGAAAGCTTCCATTTCTGTTCTATCAACAACTTAAACAACCTTGGATTCTAAACTCCAAATTATTATGTAAGCCACCTTGAGTTCCTTGAAAGGAAAAAAAAAGTGGAATATAAATATGATATATAAAAGTAATCAATCGATCAATTTTAACAATGGTTAGTGAAAAGAATGCTGCTTCTGCATTCTTTCCACTCATTTAAGATTAACTGTATTTTATTATTCTTTCTACATTGCACTTATATCCCACCTTTTTTCCACCTGCTTTTTGAAGTTCAGAGAACATAACATGATGTGATAATCCAAAATGGAAGTGAGTGCTTCAAGGATAGGCAGAGGGCGTATGAGGCCGAAGGAAGGCAAGGTTCATTCTTGTAACATTGAATGAGAAGTGGGAATCTTCAGGAAATCTCCACCCTGCAGAACCCCATGAACCACAATCCTGCTTCCAACAAATCATCCCTTTTGGCAGAGTAGCAAAAAAAATGAGAAAGTTTGTTGCCCAAATTTGGTGGCAAACCACTATGGAGTCTCAGAATGGCCAAAATTAACTTGAACACAATTCAGCAGTAGGGGCTGTCAATGAGGGTGGAGAGCACACATGGCCTGCACGCATGTTGGCCATACTTGTGCTAAGCCATACTTTAGCATTACATTGTTGGCAGCCCATTATATGCTAAAGCCAAATTAAGGTCCAATTAGGCTACACAGGAATTGAGTCAGAACTGAGTTGGAACGTAAAGTCAACTTATCACACTCACCAGTTTTCCGGAGTGGGAAATCATCCTTAGCATCTTGTGCTCCTGGTAATGTGTATTTGTAGGAAGGAGATGTCCCACTAAGGGGTGGAGAACTTTGATCCAGTGAGGTATGGTGGGCAGCCCTAAAGAAGAGGCAGATGCTCACTTCAATGACAGGAACGACACATCTGTTTTATACATAAGTTTTGACTACATTTACAACTTTGAAACCCCCCTGCCACCTTCCTAGATTTTTGGTACTGATATTTTCCCTTCTGTTAATAGCTTGACTCTTTCAAATGTTTAGAAACCTAAAGACAATACACTAGCTGTGATTTTACAGTAAGTTATGGAAGCTCTCAGGACTTCAAGAATTTCTTCTCAGGTTAAATCATAAGCAGCATACATAGTACATTCTATGATATTAAGGCTTCATGATATCAATATTACCCCCACTGGTATGGTGTCTAAACAATTCCTGTATTTTCTAATTAAAGGAAGGTCAATCTCTGGCCCATGGCCTTATCTGCTACACAGAAGTTGTCAATCCAGTCTTGGAACTCTTCTGAATTCTTCTGGGGATTGGGCTTTGCCTCCCAACCCTGCCCCCTGCAGGAATCCCTGCTGTTATATCTAATCAATGAGCAGAGATAACAGTGGGGGTGTTCCTACGCTCTGAACCTGAACGCAGACTGCAGATAACAGCATGTGATGCAGGCAAGTGGGTAAGTCCCTCCTGTGATCCTGCAGCATGGATGTTTACCTGCCCCATGCCCTCTTTTCAGTAGGATAAGGCATGGAACAGGCCAAGCAGTTCCCTCGCAGATGTACCAGGTTCCTCCTCTCAATGCACTCACAGATGACCTAAAATATCACCTGCTCTGCATTGTATCCCCAATGGAAGAGAGCACGTTGCAGGCGAAGTAACATTACTGCACACAGTTTAGGCCCGTGGAGTGGAATGCCAAGGAGGGAGCAAATAGGCTTGGGGTACCAGCATGCTGCTCATGCACATCGCAATTTAAGTGACTTATGAACCTATATGCAGTATTCTAAGTTAAACTCTGCTCTGTATATCAGTTATAAATTTAAGGTATACTGACATATATGAAATGAAGTATGGTTAGGGCTTAAGACAGCAGAAGGCTGAACGTACGTGTACCAGAGCTTGGGGTGCCGGCTAATGGAATGATTCTTCCCATTGGCTGGAGAGTCTTTTGTTGCTGATTTACTTAATAGGAACTCTTGAAGCTTCTGTTTCACCTCTGTACTGGCCACCGCTCCTAAAACATACAGGAGTTTCACATATTTCCAGTCCTACAAACACTATGAATTCACATAAAAAACACATACTCGACAGTTTTGCTAGAAAAAATGTGAAAATGAGCCTCTCCATGAACTTCTGCCTTTTAAGCTTGAGTGCTTTATGCTTACGGTACAATCTTACACATGCTTACTTTGAAGTAACCTTCTTAGTAAGTAGGCAACATTTCTTCATCAGACAGAGACTAGTTTTAAAGGAAGACATTATTCATGATGAAGGTGGAGAAGAAAGGCATATTAAAAACCCTTTATATTAAATGAAAGAGAGATATGAAAGATACAGCCAGTTTGGTCTTTAGAAGAATATCGGTACGATGCAGGAAAAAGCAGAAGGGGGAGTGATTGCGCAAGAGCATCCAAGCCATTTGCTCCACTTTATTTTTGATTTGAGGAGCAATGAGAGAGGGGTGCTGTTTGGTGGGTTGTATCCAGGGCCAGAGCAAGGTTTGCCTGAACCTATTTTGTTATCCCTTCAAGTTCCCAAATAAATCTTTGGGCCTTTTAATGTATATCAATTCCTTGGTATTTTATTTCAATACTAGCAATGTGCTGCATTATCAGATGTATTATTTATATTCAATGGCAAGGTGCTTTCATTATCTATTTATTTATTGCAATTCCTATACTGCCCAACAGCCAAAGTACTTTGGGTAGTTTACATGAGATTAAAACCTTAAAAATATATAATATTTACATACAAAACACTCAACAATAAAAATCCCAGGAACAGTTAAAACCTTAGTTATACGTGCAAATGACTGGGAACAGAGCACAGTCTTAACCTGGTGCTGAAATAAGGTCAATATTGGCATCAGGCAGATCACAGTGGAGCCATTATTCTGCAATTGGGGCCTATCACCAAAAAGGTGCTTTCTCTTGCTGCTATCTTCTGAACCTCCCTCAGTGGAAGCACCTGGAAAAAGCCCTCAGATGACAATCATAGTAAATGGGTAAGAGATCACAGACAGTACAATTTAGTCATAAGAGAGTTTGATATACTACTTCAACATAACGAAAATGATAGGTACAGCCATGAACCTGCCAACTTCAGTACCACAAATGCATTGTGGACTTGCAAAGTTATTATATGCTACAGTTGTAGGATTTTTAAAAAACATAATGGTTCTGCTTTTGGAATAAAATATTAGTAAATATTAGCAGGAATGTTATATATGGATACACATACAAACATTGGATAGTTTTCAAAACTACAGTACAAACTATATGAATGAACTTTGAAATGTGTATGTAAGTGTGATCCGTGAAGAGGCACAGGTCCCAGAGAATCTTGTTTTGAAACACAAAACTTTACACCATTTCATAAATAAATGTGTATCATTCCTCTTATAAGCTAAAAGCACCTTTACAAGGATGCCATAAAGTTCTCAGTTTTGCTGAACATTAACACACATTTTATTATCAATGAGAAATTCCAGGGGAATAATGAATGCATTTGATGGTTAAGATTGGTTAACTCCTGCAAATAACATTTTTGAAGCTCTGATGCTATGCAGTTTTCACTCCCATTCCATTTGCGAGGGGAATTATATGTATCTGCCTCCCCCTAGTGAGTATCACATTCTAGTAAAATGTCCTTCTTTCTGAATTTATTTGCATTATAGCCACAGTGATGGAGAGTTACGCTAGTCAAAATGAACACACTGAGCTGAAAAGCAATGACTATGCACAAGGTCTTTGCACGTGTGGTATGTGTGTTTTTGTGTGTATCTATGAATGCATGTACATGTGTGAGTACGTGTGTGTGCATCCACTGCAGATACCAGAAAAATCCACAATAGGTTCAAATAAGTTTGAATTTCTGTGAATCTGATCTCTGGATGCCTCAGTGAACTGGAATCATTCTACAGACCATCATTTTAAACTTTCAGTAGTTTTACACAAATGTAGTCACAGAAAAAATTAAAAACAGCCACTGAAAATGCATGATTTACTCCCACAGAAGAAGGCAATTAAATGTGTATTTTGGGGGGTATTTGCACATTTTCAGAAGTGCAAATTTGTGCAAGCATATATAAATGCATTTCTGCAAAAAGTGATTCCATTGATGAGCAGAAAATGGAATGAAAGAAACCTGAGAATCTACCAAGGGCAGACAGAGCAGGTTTAACAAAGTTGTATATCTTTAGTATATGCAGAAAAACTTAATTAATATGCAATTAATAGGGATGAATCTGAGTTTTAGTGGAATAGCTGCATGAATCTGAATGGAACTTCCTTGTCCGGCTATGTTTTTATATGTACAGTTAATTACTGTATGGGATGTGGTAGTGGAGGCAGTTGGCAAGCCAACAACAGTTAGATGGGCTGGTTCCAACCTGGGCCTGGACTAACAGATCTTACTTTCTCGGCTTCTTTCTTTGCTTCTGATTGAAGGAAGCTGCTCTCTGCGATGCCTCTCCAGTTCCTGTTCTTGCCTTTGTTGCTCCAGTTTCTGCTCTTTTTCAAGGAGTTCTTGTTGTTGCTTAATGGCTATGAGTTCCTGTTGTAACTTACGAAGAAGAAAATGTAATCAGCAAGTATATTTAGGCTAGAAGTGGTCCTATTCCAAACTAAAGTGAGCCACAGGCCAGTCGCATTGAAAGCAACGAGAATTACATTAGTCATGTCTAACTTGTTCCATAGGCTTTGATAATATTAATGCCCAGACAGTATATGTTTTTCTTCAGAAGTATCCAACTGATTTCAGTGGGGCTTGCTCTCCATTACGTGCCTATAAAATGGTAAGCTTTAAGTAAATTTAGCAGGATTATGACCAATCACTAATTTTTCTTCATTGCATTCAGATTTCTGTTCTTCTAATCCAGCATTCTGATCTTTCTTAAAAATAGTGTTGTAAGTTGTAGCATATTAAATATGTTACCTATTGAGTAACTACCATTCAGCTACCAGATTTTTACATGAATACATTTTGTGACATTTTTGCATATTTTATGTATTTTAGTCTTAACATAGAAGACAAAAGACAAATTTCACATCCAGGTATTTATTCCTCTGAAACACTGTTAGGGGTATAAGCAAAAAAGGCAAATCAAAAGGCTGCAGGTGGGACTGGGGGTTCAATGTTCATGTTAAAGACCATACTTAATTTTAGTTCAGATTAGAAAAGCTAGTATAAAAGAAACCTGCATTTGATTTTTCCATTTTAATGATTATACACAAGCCTTCTTGAAGATAAATGCCAAACCTAAAACAGGTAATAATAGAAGGCATTTTGGGAGCTGAACACAGTTGAATCTCTTTTATAGAGATATTTTTATGACAGCTATGCAAAATAAAGGGTGCTTAGAATTTCTGAAAAATTGCATTTTTTTCGTTTTGTGAATTAAGCCCTTTATATATCTTGCTGAATTTTTGCATAAATATGCAAAATAGGACCACATAGTAAAAAAATGGTCTTCTGTGCACATCTATCTGATTCTATCTGTGAGTCCAACGCAGAGATTAGAAAATACAGTTCTTAAGCAGATTTTTTTTTTAACTGGCTGGGAAGTTTCCAGTACATTCTGATCCAAGCTATCTTGTTTTGCTGCTACATGCTTGCTGTGACATGGTTTACTTTGAATCACTTACCTACTGTATACTTTTGCAAACATTCTTTATAAAATACAACCAAACCAATATCTATAGGCAAACTAACACAATATTTCACTGCATACAATGCTCACAAACAAAAGGAATAACTCAAGTTCCTTTATTCAAGTACTGTAAGGCTTCCTGAGGTCTATTCCTTCCCCATTTGATTGGTCTTTGAACATTTAGTTTATTAAGATATCTCAGGAGAGAAGCAACACTTTGCTACCTTTATGTGCTCCTGGATTTGAGCTTGGTGCTGTCGTGTCAGGTTCTCATGCTGTTTCTGAAATTCTGCTATCAGAAGCTGTTTCTGAATTTGCTGCTGTTGCTGAATCAGGAGTAACTCCTGCTGCAGCTGCTTCTCACGTATCATTGGGTCCACCATGGGAACCATCATCCTGAGATCCGTTCGCAAGTCTAATGGTGTGATAGGTTCTAATCCCACGGGAACTTCTGACTTCACATCCACTAGTATACAAGAACAGAAACAGAAAGGAGGAATTGATTGGATTTTTGTACAATGGTGTGAAAAACTGGAGATGAAGAAGAGAAAGTTTTTCATCCTTTTCCCTAAATGCAGTCCTGCTCTCTATCTTACCAGTAACAGTTGTAAAATTGGCAGGTACCAGGCACAAGGTATTTTCAGTGGTGGTCACACAACTTTGGAATTCCCTTGCAAAGTTGGCTTCCTCCCTGTAGGATCTCAGGAAGAACCTGAGGGCATTTTATTCCAGTTTGTATGTGAATTAATGTGCTGTGCATAAAGCATAGTGATGGCTATTAATGTTTTGTTGCATTTATTGTTTCATATTTTGTATGTTTTAAGCCTTGCCTGAAAACCAGCTTGTGAAGGAAACATGCCTGGCAGGCATGTCAACAATATTTTAAATCAAATAATCAACCAATAGGAAATAGATTGAATACAGAAAATTTAACACAACACAATTATGGAATTTGCTGCCACAGCTAATGGAGAGGATACAGGTATGTCTATCCAGGGCCAAAAGGTTTGCTGCAATAGCTAAACAGAACCTTCATGTCTAGGATATTCTGAATGACAGTTGCTTTGGGAAAGTCTGTGGCCTCCATGTGCTGGGAGAGACACAGACTTACAAATGTAATGCTTTTGTGCATACCTTCAACCTGAAGCTTTGCAAATAGTCACAAGGGCCAAAACAGGTTTTATATAACACAAGAAACTGGCTGGTCCATCTAAATTAGCATTGTCTACCCTTACTGGCAGCAAGTCTGAATGGAGATGGCACAGAATGAATGAAGACTCAGTTATATAGCCACCTTCTGATGGCTGTTTCAAGGTGAACAGGTGAATATTCACCCACCTCTCTCAATCACTCATGCAGAGATCAACAATAACCTCCTCTGAGGTTATTCCATTGCATTTATATATCTGGAATGACTGAACAATCTCAGGACTTCAGTCACAAACATACAGCAGTATTATTTTGACTGGAAGAAGTCAAGTCCAGGAAACCAACAACGAAGCACAGATAGAGTGGGCGTCCTTAGACTCTTGGGTTTTCTAATTATTTCATATATTTATCTGAATGGCAGAACACAAGCCTTGCTTCCAGTGAACCATAGATTTGGTGCTTGGCATCTCCAGGCAGAGCTGGGAAAGACTCATGGTTGAGACACTAGAGACTGGGGAGGTATAATAGAACCAATATATCTCTCTATATAAGTCAGCTTGCTGTGTCCACATTAGTAGCTCATCTCTCCCATCACACACACTGGTAATTGTTGCTGCAGTCCCTCAAGAGGCAATGCAGAGATGTGAACAAGTAGCATTAGCAAAGAAAAGAGCAGACTTTCAGGACAAATCTATTTTCTTGGCCTCAGAACATGGTATGTATTTCCAGTGGCAGATAAAGGATATGTTCCAGAAAACAGATTTTAGCATGGCTTCCAAGGTCAGGAACAAAACTGAAGTAAAAGAAATATCAAATTTAAAATGTCCTCCTCTCATTTTTCCTTTCCCTTGCTCTTCCCTTTGACTTTTCTGCCAAACCAAGATCTCCTCCTTCCAAGTCTTCCAATAGTTCAATGTCTGCCAGCCAAACATGAAAAGAGGAGGATAATAGTTCTGAGAAACTTTCTTGGTCTCACCTTCTATTTTTAGATATGCAGACATCTATGCTTAGAAAGGCAAGATATTTGGAATGGGGATGCTCCAAAAGATAGTGTCCTTAGCCGTGATTGACTGCAGGACCTTCTTGGAATGCTGTAGCAAGAGCGGATAACCTTTTTTTCTGTTGAGGAATGCATTTTCTCATCAAGGATCTATCAGGGTTGGCCAATGTTGGTGAGGCCAAAGACAGGGTTGGGCAAAGCCAGAGACAAAACTCAGAAGTCATCCTTTTCACCTTCTTTTTCTGCCATTCCTTTCCCTTTATTTATTGTATCTTTCCCAGTAGGAAGCTAGGCGAGGTTCAGGTTGCTTCTACCAGAGATATGAACTGAAAGTCAGGGCTGCAGGTTGTCTCCCTGCTATAGGTTTGGAAGAACCAACCACTGCAGAACCAGTGGAGGGGCACACTCTAAGTGGTTTTGAAGGATTACCTTCCTATGGCAGTGTGTAGCAGCTCCACATAATGTAATGTAATTTAATAGCACAACATGACAGAAGATATCCAGTGCCTGTTACTTTACAGATTGTAGTTTCAGAATGTCCTGTAATTTTTGAAACCTTGATCTGACAAGACTATAAATAGTGACTGCTGGGAAGTGCACAGCTGGAAAATTTTAGAATTCATACAATTGATCTGCTCTTGGAGTTAGACTTCTACTTCTCATTTATGCTGAAAAAGAGATTAAAAACTATCAGTCTGCATTTCATTCAGTAGAGGGCAGTAGCACACAGACATACCAGGCAACTGTTTTTAAAAACAAACCTGCATATTAGCATCTATGTCCAAATGCATGTGTCAGAGGTATGTGCATCTGGACATTAGGATGCACTGTTTTTAAGACAAAACCCCCTTTCTTTGTTTTGTTCATCTTTATTTCTTCCTTAGTCGAAGACAAGGAAGATGGCTCACTAATGCATTTTGACATAAACTTGGAGTTCTAATTATTCAAACAAAAATTTGTGGTATAAATGCAAGCATCATTTTTATGCTTGTATACATACTTTTAAGCCTCTGATAGCATAGACATAAGTGAAATGCATGGTATAAGAAAAATATATGGATGGTGAAATGCCCTTGTCTCTTACATTTTCCTCTCAGCAAACAGATAACAAATACCATTTTTGTTGATATTACAAAACCATCGCTAGTATAACAACAATCAGTAGTACTATTTACTTGCTGAAACAGCTATTTTAAATCTCAAAGCACAATGTGTTTTCCCAGTTTTCTAGTCTACTAGAATTATATTGCCAAGACTAAGGGCTAAGCAAAAAATTGGAACCCCCACCCCACCCTTAAATTACCAAAACACTAGCCTTGATTATAAATAATTGTCTCAGACCAAGAGAAAAATGGACAGCAAGATCTCAGTCCTTTCAACCAATTTATTCTACAGCAACCCACATTCCATTTGTCTAGACTAAATATAGCAGCGTTTATACAAGAAATCAATAGTGCTTGGAGAGAGCAGAGCAAAGACATGAATATTTCATCAAACTCACAGAGAAATGGCAATCAGCAAACTGACAGCTCATTGGAGGCTGACTCCTCCGGCCCTCCTGATAAGTCTTTGTTATTTGGACGATGGCTCATCCCCTCCAAGTCACAGCCTTATCACAGACACTCTTCTATTTTTAGCATTAATTGCATTGTAGGTGACAAAGACTTATCATGTTTAAAGTGGAGAGATGGATTTTCTTACATCCGTTGTGCCACATAATAGGCCTTGCCAGGAACAATAAAAAGTTACTAGAGCTGAGCAAAAATACTCCTACCCAAGACTGCCTACAGTCTCACAGTTTGAAATGTTCCTGATGCTGAAAACAGAAAAAGATATTCAAACAAAAAACGAAATGCATGCACACACACACTTCTAAAATTGAGGTTATGTGTAACAAATCATGCCAAAAGAGCAGACCCATCTAGGGTAATGTTTGCATTCTAAGGACATCGTTTTGTTTTCAACATCAAAAGACTTAAACTTCTAAACCTCTTGGTGATAAGTGGCATATTTTGTCCTATTAATTCAGTATACGATGGAAAAAGAAAACCTCACAAGCCAACCCCAAAGCAAAAAAAATACATTTAATTACAAACTGTGTTTAATTTCATCCTTCCAGAAAAGGGAGGAACGTGTTCATTGCTATACTGTATCCCTGGTGTCTGGCAAGATTCTCTTCCACCAGAAGGCCAAGAACAGTCCCCTAACTTTTACCATCCTCTCTGGAAACATTATGATCTGAATAATATTTTTGTTGGAATGAACAGAGGCCCAAGTCCAGAGATGCCTGCAAAATTTTGTGATGGATGGACCTCCTTTGGTCCTGGAGCTGGTGGTTGCCTTAGAAATCCATATCTTTGTTCAGATTTGTTGGAGTGAGATGGAAATGAGACATTTTATTTATAGTTTGAATGATGAGAGAGGTTGTAGTGGTTTAAAATGTACTATGAAAAGAGCAAAAATAATTGCTACATTTTGAAGAAACATGTAAATTGATATGTTAAGGTTTTGTATATATGTCAATGGAAGGAAAGAGAGAGGAAGTTACATGATTGTCATGAAGGCACTGGGTTGCCTGGGCAATAAATTTAAACATCTGTAAGGTATCATTCAAGGCGATAAGCCAAACCTCCCCTTCAAGGTAGAACTCTGATTTAAAAAGTCAAAAGGGGTGAGGGGGGTCACTAGAAGAAACTGTATACATCAGGTGATGGCAGAACCTAGGCTTACAAAATATATTACGTTCTCTTTTAAAATTAAAACCCCAAACTACAGTAATAAGAACCCGATCCAAAATTGTTTGTGCAGAGAGAGTGGTATCATATGCAAACTAATGGTTTGGGGATGGGTGTCAGTTACCAACTAAGCAGTACACTAGGGTGACCCTGCTTATTCTAGTACATCTGATTTTTCTCAGAGATTCTACCCATCTTACTCAGAAAGAGTCAAGGAGTCTTTAGAAAGGAGTCAGAAGCCCTTGTTTATCCACTCCAAATTGTCCAGCCAATCTACCAGCAGATCCGGTAATCTGGTGGTTTTCAACTACCAGCCTATGGACCGGTGCTGGTCCACGGGAATTTTCCTGCTGGTCCGTGGAGGGGGGGTACCCCACTTTACATGGACTGGCATGAGGGCTGGTTGTGCACCACCACCTCTTCCTCGGTAGGCATTGAGTTCATACGAGTGCACTGGTGCTACCAGGCGGGCCAGGGAGGGGAGAGACGGCTCGGTGGGAGCCTGCTTGAAGCCATGCTGCTCTGATTTTGGTATTTTGTTCATTTGTTGCTTGGTTTCTGGTTGTTTTAGAGATTTTTTAT